TTTGCATAGATAGAGATCAAAATGTGGTCTAATTGTTTTTCCTGTACTTGCCTAGATAATTAGAAATCTTGTAACATTTATAAGCATATATCATATTTACATGTTGTTTTGTTGTATATGCTTTTTGTGTCATATATGTGAATTACATAATTGACCAGAAGATAATGCTTATATCCTACACATATATATTCCCATAGCATTTGTCCCTGTGTCTGTATTGTAAAAATAACTATTATCATGCTATGAGTAATAGTATAATGTTTGCTTGTTCAGATTTAAAGATCAGCAGCTCCAGGTAGTACAAAACGGATGGTCAGAATACTTGGTTAGTCACATGTCCTTAACACTTTGCAGGGTTTGGAAAAACATAGATCTCATGAAACATTAATGCAATTTACACATAAACTAATGAAAAACTGCTCATAAATGTAGATGAAATTCAAACCAAACTCACTACCATCGAGTCAGTTCTGACTCAGTTTCCCCCGTTGGATTTCTAAGGCTGTAAATCTCTCGGAAGCAGATTGCCACATCTTTCTTCAAGAGAATAGCTAACCAAAAGGTGGGTTTGAACCATCACCTTTTGGTTAGCAATCAAACGCTCTAACCATTATACCACCAGCAGTGGTAATTATACTTTGCACTAAGAATTTATCACTTTGAAGTAAAAAGTGAAATTTGTTGGGAGTTGGCTTAAATATCCTTTTTTTGGGTTTCATGTTGTTTCCTTTGATAGAAAATCATATGCTATTTGAATAACAATCTTTAGGATAACAATACTTGCTCAAAAATGATAATCACATTTCTTTAAAGTTTTGTTAATATTTGTTTATTTGATTGGGAACGTATGCTTTCATTTATTCTTACTTTGGATGTGGCTATGACAAAAACATACGCTTGGTGTTTCCAAGCTTAAAGTCTTATGATTGTTAGCTTTTATAAGTAGCCACACTGAGCTCTCTGTTTCTCTCATAAATAAAGTCTCTTACCCTTGGGAGACCTTATCCTTCCTTGCATGTACGGCTTTCACCTTTAGGAGGATGACTCCCAGCTGTAGATCTACGTTTTAGTCCTTGACCTGTCGTCTTTTTTCAGTGGACATGTGTTTGTTCTGTGTCTGCTTTGTGTCAGACACTGTGGGAGGCCTTGGTAAGCAAAAACAAGTAAGATCCTTAACTATATTAAAAAAAAAAAAAATCAAGTCACAAAGTATGTAGCATTTATTCGAGTGGTTATTCCATATGCATGTAGGGAATCCATTTTGTTTGTTAAAAATGGCTCAGTGCAGGCTAGTTACATTGAGGCTTTTGAGGTGAAGAGGAAGAAAACAGTAAAAGTTGACCATTGGCCAGTCTCATCGGGATGAATTGAAATCATCCCCTCCCCTTCCTAAGATCAGCTGATGTCAGGTTACTAGGTGGTTTCCATTCATTTGAAATTGCCTGAAGTTAAATTCTTTGCAAAGGTAAACTTTAATATTTATTAGATTATAATATGTTGTTGCTGGTTGCCATTAAGTCAGTTCTGACTTTTTGGTGATCTCATGTGTGCAGAATAAAACTGCTCTAAAGGGTTTTCAAGGCTGTGACCTTTCAGAAGCATATCTCCAGGTCTACCTAGGCACCTCTGGGTGGGTTTGAACCACTGACCTCTCAGGTAGTAGTGGAGCCCTTAACTATTTGTGCCATCCAGGGACTCCAGGATGAACTGTAAACTGCTTCATTGTTACTACAGTTGTCTTATCCCAGAGGCAGTTTGTGATTTTATGATTGCCCTATCTCCTGTTACTTCATTTTGTCTGTTCTTGGATGCATTTCACATTGGTCAGTGACCTTTGTAAGGAGTCCTAGTAGCACATCTAGTTAAACACTTGGCTGCTAATTGAAAGGTTTGTGGTTTGTTCTAAAGGAGAAGGATGTGGCAGTTTGCTTCTCTGAAGATTTACAACCTTGGAAATCCTTTGAGGGCAGTTCTGCTCTGTTACTTTGAGTCAAAATCTGGATTTAGTGACCTTTGTGAATGTTGCTGTCTGCTCAGGAATCTGGCAGTTCCTGTTCTTCACTTTTTTTCTCTTAGCACCTGTATATGATTAAGTGAACTTTTGAATGTCCTTCCCACTTAGGTCTCTTAATTACTTTTATAGTAACCCTCACCTAAATAGTCTGTGAAGGAGCCCTGGTGGCATAATGGTTAAACGTTTGCTTAACCTAAAGGCTGATAGTTGAACTCAACAGCCACACTGCACTAGAAAAAAAAGTGACTGTCTGTTCCCGTAAAGATTACAGCCTGGGAAACCTTACGGGGCTGTTCTATCCTGTCCTGTAGGGTTGCTATGAGTAAGAAGCGACTCAAGACACAAAACAGCAACAACAAATATCCTATTAGATGTCTAAAACTGAACTTATCTTTTTTCCCTACTATAAGTGTGTATATGTGTATATATACTATTCATAAGTTTTTCACTGGCTAGTTCTTTGAGAAGTGAATGGCCTCTTCCTTCTTCCGAGTCTGTCTCAGTCTGGAAGTTCTGCTGAAACCCGTCGACCATGGGCAACCCTGCTGGCCCAGCCTCCAGCCTCACAGCAACTTGCAAACCATCACAGTATGACAAATTGACAGACAAGTTTGTCTCCCTTAGCTGTTCCAGCCACTCCACTCACTTTCTGCTTGGGGGTTCTCCCCTCCTTAACTCTTCTACCTCCCCTTCTTACCTGTTCCAGCCCTGGGCCCTGGCTCCCACTTCATGCCTGGGGGCTCTCCGCCTCACAGCAACATGCAAACCATCACAGTATGACAAATTGACAGACAAGTTTGTCTCCCTTAGCTGTTCCAACCACTCCACTCACTTTCTGCTTGGGGGTTCTCCCCTCCTTACCTCTTCTACCTCCCTTTCTTACCTGTTCCAGCCCTGGGCCCTGGCTCCCACTTCATGCCTGGGGGCTCTCCCCTTACCAGATCAACTGCAGAAGACTCATGGTCACCCTATAGGACGGCATAGACATGTCCCATAAGGTTTCTAAGGCTGAAAGTCTTTACAAAAGCATACTGCCTCATCTTTCTCTTGTGGAGTAGCTGGGGGGTTCGAACTGCGGACCAATTTTGGTTAGCAGCCTAATGCATTAACGGCTACATCACCAGAACTCCTCTGATCCTGTATAAATAGATCTTAAGAGAGCACAGGGCCCAAAGCAGACATTCTTTACTAGTTAAGCTGAACTGTTGTTTGGTTTTAAGAAGACTTTAGGGGATATTCTCCCTCCCCAATCCCCCTTTTTTTTCCTGTTACTGTTTTCGCTGCCTGGGATTAAAGCCGTGGAGTTCTCTGCCTTCACTCCTTTGCGTCATCCACCATATTCTCTCTGTTCTTCCTTTACTCTTTTTCCATTACTTTATCACATGTGGATTAATGCAGTAGTCTGCTGACTGTTCTTTTCTATACTGCTTCCAGGTTAATTTTCCTAAAGATAATAATTTCCATACAGCTTCTCATTGCTCATTCAGCAAAATGCAGTGAAAATTAGACCCACTCTAGTCTTATCCCCTCACCCTTTTTCTCAAATATCTTTTGAACATTCCAAACTAAGCTTTTTCTTATACATTTTCCCCACCTGAAAATCCTTCCCATTTTCTTCCCTGTAACTGGTCTTACGTTGCTTCGCATTCTGCTTTCAGACATCAGTTCAGCTCTAATCTTGATAATTTTACAAAGCCTTCCCTCACTAAAGAAGATTGTTTTTGTCTTTGAACTGTGCATATAACATGGCACTTTCATGCAGCATATTCTGTGCTGTATTTTTGATATGTTTATTATATTTTCTCTTGTGTAGTTAATCTGTGAACTGTTTTTAAGTCAGACCTGACAGAGTTCAGAGTAGGCCCACTTGATAGAAAAAAAGGCAGTGGCCACTTGAAAGCGGCTTCTTTGAAAAAAGCTATAAGCCTACTTCTTGTTTTTAGTTGTTGTTGGGTACCCTTGAGTCGGTTCTGACTCACAGCGACCCTGTGTACAACAGAACGAAATCCTGCCTGGCCTGCACCATCCTCACAATTGTTGCTGTGTTTGAGCCAAGGGTTGCAGCTACTGTGTCAATCCATCATCTTATTGAGGGTCTTCTTCACTGACCCTCTACTTTACCAAGCATGATACCCGTCTCCAGGGAGTGGTTCCTCCTGAAAACATCAGCAAACTATGAGAGGTGAAGCTTTTCCATAGAATCAGAATTTGATAAGTGGAAGGGTGTGCTATAGACGATGCATTTTTACATGCGGTTTACTAAATGTTGGTTTTGTTATTTTTCTCTCTTGTTCTCTACTTTCTACATAATTCATGTTACTTAAGAGTTTAAAATAGGGAGCTCTGGTAGCATAGTGGCTAAGGCACTTGACTGCTAAACAGAAGGCTGGCGGTTCAAACCCACTGGCCACTCCTCAGAAGGAAGATGGGGCAATCTACTTCCGTAGTGATACTGCCTCGGAAACCCAAGGAGGGGTCGACTATGAGTCGGGTCCGACTCGATGGCACATAACAACAACAACAAGAGTTTAAAAAAATGCAAAGTGAATTCATAGTATTTAATCCACATAGTACAGCCCCAGGGAAAGCATATTGGACTGGGAATCAAGATCTGGGCTCTAGGCCTTGACTGTGATTTATCATTTCTTGGACAAGTCACTTTAGAATGGTGAGTCTCAGTTTCTTGATATGCAGCTAAAGGTAAATGATCTCTTAACGTTTCTTTCTTGGTCTAAATTTCTGTCACATTGATGTTGCTACTAACTTGCTCTTACCGTTCTTTTGATCTTCGCCTTAGCTAGGCTCATGTGTTAACCAAATTTTGTTGTCATATTTTTCTTTTAGAATCTAGTTTAGGGTTAGTCATTGCTTCATTTGGAGCATGTTCAGTTCAGGACCTAGTTTTGTTTCCCAATCAGCATGCATTAATTATTGAAGAGGATAAATTAACCTAGTTGTGATTTACTTCTTTTTTTATTTATTTAAGGAATTTTCAAAAGAAATAATTCCAGATTAATGGATGAAATTTTAAAACAACAGCAGGAACTTCTGGGCTTAGATTGTTCCAAATATTCACCAGAGTTTGCAAATAGTAATGACAAAGATGATCAAGGTAAGATGAATATGTAACATATGCAGATGTGTGTTTTGCATTTCAAGGCAAATTTCATCTTTTACTCATTCATTTTGCTCTTTTACTCCTTATTGTCACTATATTTAATATCAGATTTATTAGACTTTTCTCTCAATTTTGTTAAAAGATAATTTTCAGGAAAAGAAAATCATGACTCTGGTATAACTCATAAATAACCAGGAGCCAGGTTGGAAATTGCTCTTTTAGAATCAGAATTGGTTAAAAGTATGTACTGTAGACAACGCATATTCTTCCACTGAAACATAAATTTTTTCTGCAACCTTAATTTTTCTCTTCCTGTGTTACTAAGGAACGCTGGGTGGTACAGTGGGTAAGGCATTTGACTGCTAACCAGAAAGTCAGTGGTTCAAACCCATCAATTGCTCCACGGGAGGAAGATGAGGCAATCTACTTCCATAAAGATTTATATATAGTCTTGGAAACCCAGGGGGCGGGGTCGCTATGAGTCAGGATTGACTTGATAGCAGTGGGTTGGGTTTGGTTTATTCTATGTTACTATTGTTCTGTGATGGAGGATGACATTTTAGATGGAGGATTAGACATTTAGATGGAAAGGGGCCATCTACTTCTCAAAGAGTTGGCTAGTGAAAACCTTATGAATAGCAGTGAAACACTGTCTGATATGTTACTGGAAAACTTTATGAATAGTCCTGAAATATTGTCCGATATAGTGCCAGAAGATGAGCCCCTTAGGTCAGAAATTATTACCTATCCTGTAGTTAAAATTCCAGTATCTAGAGGATTTATTCACACATACAGTGCCCATTTGAGCATTTTGAAAAGAAGGCAGCATATACGTATGTCTGTGTTTATGTCTATGTGTATGTATATATGTGTGCATATATGTGTATGTATATATATATGTATATATGTGCAAATATGTGTGTGAGTGTGTATGTGTGTATCCACCACTCATCTGTCAGTTTGTTGTACTGTGGTGGCTTGAATGTTGCTGTGAGGCAGGAGGCTATGTCACTGGTATTTCAAACACCGTCAAGGTCCCATGGGGGACAGGTTTCAGTGGAGCTTCCAGACTAAGACAGACTCAGAAGAGGAAGGGGGCCATCTACTTCTCAAAGAGTTGGCTAGTGAAAACCTTATGAATAGCAGTGAAACACTGTATAATATGTTACTGGAAAACTTTATGAATAGGCCTGAAACATTGTCCGATATAGTGCCAGAAGATGAGCCCCTCAGGTCAGAAGGAACTCAGAATATGACTGGGGAAGAGCTGCTTCCTCAAAGTAGAGTCAACCTTAATGACATGGATGGAATAAAGTTTTTAGGACCTCCATTTTCTGATGTGGCACAACTGAAAATGGGAAGAAACAACTGCAAACATCCATTAATAATTGGAACATGGAAAGAATCTAGGAAAATTGGAATTTATCAAAAATGAAATAAAATACATAAAGATTGATATCCTAGGCATTAGTGAGCTGAAATGGACTGGTTTTGGCCATTTTGAATCAGATAACCATATGATATACTACGTCGGGAATGACAGATTGAAGAGGAATGGTGTGGCATCCATAGTCACAAAGAATTTTTCAAAATCTATCCTAAAGTAGGAGCTCTGGTAGCATAGTGCCTAAGGCACTTGACTGCTAACCAGAAGGCTATGGTTCAAACCCACCAGCCACTCCTCAGAAGGAAGGTTGGGCATTCCTACTTCCGTAGTGATACTGCCTCGGAAACCCAAGGAGGGGTTGCTATGAGTCGGGGCCGACTCGATGGCAAATAACAACAACAACAACAACATCCTAAAGTACTAGGAAGCTCTGGTAGCATAGTGGCTAAGGCGCTTGACTGCTAACCAGAAGGCTGGTGGTTCAAACCCCCCCACCCACTCCTTGGAAGGAAGATGGGGCAATCTATTTCCGTAGTGATAACTGCCTTGGAAACCCAAGGAAGGGTCGCTATGAGTTGGGTCTGACTCAATGGCACATAACAACAACAACAACATCCTAAAGTACATCAGCAAAGAAGGGAAAGGCCCTCAATAAGATGGATTGACACAGTGGCTACAACAATGGGCTTAGGTATAGCAAGGGTCATAGTGCTGGCACAGGTCTGGGCAGTGTTTCGTTCTGCTGTACGTGGGGTTGCTATGAGTTGGAGATGACTTGACGGCACCAAACAACATCCTGAAGTACAGTGCTGTCAGTGATAGGATGATATCCATATGCCTACAAGGAAGATCAGTTAATACTACTACTATTATTCAAATTTACACACCAGCCGCCAAAGCCAGAGATGAGGAAATTGAAGATTTTTGCCAAATTCTGTAGTCTAAAATTGACCAAACATACAATCAAGATGTGTTGATTATTACTGGTGGTTGGAATGCAGAAGTTGGAAACAGATAAGAATCACTGGTAATTGGAAATTATGGCCTTGGTGATAGGAATGATTTTGCAAGACCAACAGCTTATTCATCAGAAATACATTTTTCAACTACATAAGCGGCAGCTGTACAGGTGGGTGGACTTCGCCAGATGGACTGCACAGGATTCAAGATCGACTACATCTGTGGAAAGAGGCAGTGGAGAAGCTTAGTATGTTCAGCCAAAACAAGGGCAGGAGCTGACTGTGGAACAGACTATCAACTGCTCATACGCAAGTTCAAGTTCAAGTTGAAGATAATTAAAACAAGTCTGTTAGAACCAAAATATGATTTTAAGTGTATCCCACTTGATTTTGGAGACCATCTAAAGAATAGATTTGATGCCTTGAACACCAGTGACTGAAAACCAGAATTGTGGGATGACATCAAGAACATTATCCATGAAGAAAGCAAAATATCATTAAAAAGACAGGAAAGAAAGAAAAGACCAAAATGGATGTCAAAGAGACTCTGAAACTTGCCCTTGAATGGAGAGTAGCTAAAGCAAATGGAAGAAATGACAAGATAAAAGAGCTGAACAGAAGATTTCAAAGAGCAGTTTGAGAAGACAGAGTATATTATTATAATGAAATGTGGAAAGACCCAAAGGGAAGAACATGCTTGGCATCTCTCAAGCTGAAAGAACTGAAGAAAAGATTGAAGCTTCGAGTTGCGATATGGAAAGATTCTATGGGCAAAAATATTGAATGATGCAGGAAACATCAAAAGAACATGGAAGGAATACACAGAGTCACTATCAAAAAGAATTGGTCGATGTTCATCTGTTTCAGGAGGTGGCATATGATCAAGAACCGATGGTATTGAGGAAGAATTCAAAGTTGCACTGAAGGAATACATGAAAAACAAGGCTCCAGGAATTGACGGTATACCCAGTAAGATGTTTCAACAAACATGCCATGTTGGAGGTACTTATGTCTTGCCACCAAATTTGGATAACAGCTACCTGGCCAACTGACTAGAAGAGATCCATATTTGTACCCATTCCAAAGAAAGGTGATCCTACAGAATATGGAAATTATCAAACAATATCATTACTATCACACGCAAGTAAGATCTTGCTGAAGATGATTCAAAAATGGTTGCAGTAGTGTATTGACAGAGAATTTCCAGAAATGCAAGCTACATGATTCAGAAGAGGATGTAGAATGAGGGATATCATTGCTGATGTCAGATGGATCTTGGCTGAAAGCAAAGAGTACCAGAAAGATGTTTACTTGTGTTTTATTGACTATGCAAAAGCATTCGACTGTGTGGATCATAACAAATGGTGGGTAACATTGAAGAATGGGAATTACAGAGCACTTAATTGTGCTCATGGGGAACCTGCACATAGAGCAGGAGGCTATTATTGAAACAGAACAAGGGGATGCTGCATGGTTTAAAATCAGGAAGGGAGTGTATCAGGGTTGAATCCTTTCACCATACTTATTCATACTAGTCTATGTGCTGAGCAAATATTCTGAGAAGCTGGACTATAGGAAGAGGAAAGCAGCATCCAGATTAGAGGAAGACTCATCAACAACTTGTGATAAGCAGACAGCACAACCTTGCTTGCTGAAAGTGAAGATGACTTAAGCACTTACTGATGAAGATTAAAGACTACACTCTGCAGTGTGGATTACATCTCAATATAAAGAAAACAAAAATCCTCACAACTGGACCAATAAGCAGCATCACAATAAATGGAGAAAAGATTGAAGTTGTCAAAGATTTCGTATTACTTCGTTCCACAATCAACACCAATGGAAGCAGCAGTCAGGAAATCAGACAACGTATTGCACTTGGCAGATCTGCTGCAAAAGACCTCTTTAAAGTCCTAAAGAGCAAAGATGTCTCTTTGAAGATTCAGTTGCGCCTAACCCAAGCCATGGTGTTTTCAGGCGTCCCATATGCATGTGAAAGCTGTACAGTGAATAAGGAAGACCTAAGAAGAGCTGATGTTTTTGAGCTGTGTTGTTGGTAAAGAATACTGAAAAGTACTGTGGACGTCCAGAAGAACGAACCAATCTGTCCTGGAAGTGCAACCAGAATGCTCCTTGAGAGCAAGAATGGCCGGGCTTCATCACACTTATTGATCATGTTGTCAGAAGGGACCATTCCCTGGAGAAGGTTATCAGGCTTGGTAAAGTGGAGAGTCAGCAAAAAAGGGGAAGACACTCAATGAGATGGATTGACACAGTGGGTGCGGCGATGGGCTCAGGATAGCAAAGATTTTGAGGCTGACGCAGGACTGGGCAGTGTTTCGTTCTGTTGTACATAGGGTCACTATGAGTTGGAGCCGACTGGATGGCACCTACCAACAACTTTGTGTGTGTGTGTGTGTGTGTGTGTGTAAAATGTGATTTCAGGTGTTTGGGTCCCTTCTGAGGAGAGTAGCTAAGTACATTTTGATACTGAAATTAAAATCTTGAGAAATGTGTATGTTATTCTCAATTTAGTATTTCTTAAAACTGATTTTATAATATGTCTGAAAAAGATTTTTGTTTTAAAATCTTGTTTGTTTTTTTCCTCCAGTTTTAAATTGCCAATTGGCAGTGAAGGTGCTGTCCCCAGAAGATGGAAAAGCAGATATTGTGAGAGCTGCACAGGACTTTTGCCAGTTAGTAGCCCAGCAGCAAAAGAGATCTACAGATTTGGATGTAGATATGTTAGACAGTTTAATTAGTAAGTCATGTGTATACACACACGCACATACACACACATACATACATATATGTGTGTGTGCATATATATATGTTTTTAGTGGTCACATAAGGTTATAGTGTGAAAGAGAACATTTAGTTTTCTTTCACACTATAAAATCTGATTTCTTTTAAATGTCATTATCATTAGGTGTCTGAAATTTAAAAACGCATATGTGAAAATGGTTTTGAGATAATTAAATTTGTAGTTACTCACTTCCATGGATACTTAATGGCAAAGGAAAGAACTTAAGTGGATTTTTTTCCTTCCTTGGGGTTTTGAATATTCTTGAAAATAGAACTTCTGCTTGTCAGCCCTCCTTTCCTCTCCCACTTCCTTGTTTAGGAGTAAGTTTGAATTTTATTGATATTTTGCCTCTTTTTAATGTGTTGTTTGTTTTATTATTGAGTTTTAAGGTTTCTTTATATACTTAATGCAAATACTTTATATATATAGCTATTTAGGGAACAATCTCAAGAATACAGTCTTTCTGTTCTCCATGACCTTTTTTTTTTGGTATTTCTTATGTTATATTAAATATACTACTGTATTTGCCATGTTATGTCATATATATCATTACATCCTTCTTTCCCTTTGGCTAATTATAAAAGCCTTCAGTTTGCTTTTTCTCCATTGAGTCTCATGTTTCTTCTGCTTACTAGCATTGTCCTTGATCCTTTGGAAAAAAAGGCAAAACATCTTAACAAATCGTGTCCAGTGATAGCTTCTTTAGCTATATGAATTTAGGCATTCATTTACCTTTCATTCACTTACATAGAGTTTCCATTTATTCTACTCATTAATCATGCATTTTCTGTCTCATTCATTAACCTAACTCTCCACTTTGCTGCATGTCTGTCTCTGGGCACAGGCCCTCTTGGACCTCTTGTTCTCATTAACTCTCTATGCTCACTGTCTACTACATCTTACCCTACCCTTCTATTTCTACTCAGCCATTACGGAACCATATTCAGGCAGAATGAGTAGGCTTGAAGTAGACCATTGTGGGGTCTCTAGTAAGAGGTTACTGGTATGTGGACTGTTTTTCAATCCTGTGAATTCCCAACCAAAGACTGATTTATGAGGATGTCCTAATTTTACACAAGGGCTCAATGGTGATCTGTCGTGTAACCCATGATGAAGTGTTGAAGTTGAGCTTGGAGGTAGCCTTCAGGGGTTGTAGACCCATGATAAATGAAAATAAACATTTATAATAATTCATTTATCTGACAGAAGCAAACACTGAATGCCATCACCTTAAAAAGTTATCTTCTCACTGCAGTGAATCTTTATTCTTCCCTCAGCTCCAGACAACCACTATCTACTGTGTGACTAGACTTTCATTTCTTTTAGAACTTTGATGTAAATGGAATCATACAATAAGTAGTCTTTTGGATCTTGCCGCTTTCACTCAGTATAATATTTTTGAGGTTTAGCTGTGTTGTTACACATTCACTCCTTTTCACTGGTGAGTAGGGTTCTGTTGTGTAAATACACCACATTTTGTTTTTCTGTTCACTCATTGATGCACATTTGGGTGTTTCCAGTTTTTGAATAATGCTGCCATAAATATTTTCAGACAAGTCTTTGTGTGGACATATGTTTTCTTCTCTCTTGAGTAGATACCTAGTAATGGAATTCCTAGGTCTTAAAGTGAGTGAAGGAGTCCTGGTGATGCATTGGTTACGTGCTCAGCTGCCAACTCAGAGGTCTGCAGTTTGAACCTATAGCTGTTCCATGGAGAAAGATGTGGCAGTATGCTTCCATAAAGATTATAGCTTTGGAGAATCCTGTGGGGCAGTTCTACTCTGTCCGATAGGGACATCGCTGTGAGTGAGAATTGACTCAATAGCAGTGGGTTGTTTTGTTTATAGTGAGTGAACATTTAAGTTTTAAAGAAATTGCCAAACTATTTTCCGTAGAATCTGTACCGTTTTGCAATACCTCCTTTAACTTTAACCATTCTAGTAGGTATATAATGGTATATCACTGTGGTTTTAATTCATATTTTCTTAATGAGTAATGGTGAGTATTTTTCTTATGCTGGTTTGTCATTGTATCTTCTTTGGTAAGTGTCTATCAGATAGTTTGCCTCTTTTTAATGTGCTGTTTGTTTTATTATTGAGTTTTAAGGGTTCTTTATATACTTAATACAAATACTTTATATAATTTTTAAATATTTTATCCTAGTCCATAGCTTACCTTTTCATTTTCTTCATGGTGTCTTTTTAAAGGGTTCCTTAACAGTGTCAGGTACCAATTTTCTACCACTGTCTGTCAAAAGACTGTGCTTTTCCTTTTGAGTTACTTAGGCTCTTTTGTTGAAAATCAGTTGACCGTAAATACATGGGTTTATTTCTAGGTTCATTGTTCTGTTTCATTGGCCTATGTTTATCCTAATGATACTGCACTGTCTTAATTACTGTAGCATTGCAATATGTTTTGAAATCAGGTAGTATAAGTCTTTCAGCTTTTATTTATTTATTTTTTCAAAGTTGTTTTGGCTCTGCAAAGGCCCTCTAAATTTTAGAATCCCCTTGTCAATTTCTAAACTGTTGGGATTGTGATAGATATTGCATTAAATGTAGATCAATGTGAGAAGAATTACTATCTTAACATTTGGGTCTTAATTTTTCTCTTAACAATGTTTCATAATTTCAAGATACAGAGCTTCTACTTCTTTTGGTTAATTTACTCCTAAATGGGTTTTTTTGTTTGTTTGTTTTGGTGCTATTACTGTTTTGTTTTGCTTTTTAATTTTATTTTAGGATTATTTATTGATAGTGTATGGAAATACAGTAAAGTCACTTAATAGTCCCAGTATTTTTATAGATTCTTAGGATAATACATTTTTTTTGATCTGACTTCCTATGTCAGCATATCTTAGTGGTCAGCCGTTGATTTGCACAAAGGCTGTGGTACTAAAACACCTCAAACTTCCAGGATCTGTGTATTGTGAGATTGAAGAGTGCCCTGCCTTCAAAGCTGCCGCCACTTCTCAAGTATCCTTGACTTTTACTTTTCACTGGGCTTCTTTGCCCCCATTCCATGTATTTTCAAGTCAGCTGTGGATGTGTAGAGAGTTTATCTTGGCCCTTATTTGCAGGATCTCCTCGTTAAATTTCTAGTCATTATACTACAACAGCTACAGCCACAGGCTACAAATGATAGGTTGTCCTCTTTCATTCTCTATCAGCTTCCTTTCTTTTAGTTGGCAAAATTGTGGATTTTCACTGCTGAGGACTCCTTTCCCCCAAATTGAATCTGTATCTTTTGGCACCAAGAGGCAAAGCTAGTGGTTTTTATAGACTGCCCTATGCTGGTAGAACTACAGTTCTCTCCAGTTGATTGGGGGATAGGGGTGAGCATTGAGAACAGTTCTAGGCAGGGTGCCATACACTCTTGCTGTTCTTACCTGAAACTCTGCCTTTGTCCTTAAATGGTTGGTTTTGTCCAATTTAATACATGTTTTTTTTTTTTTTTTTCCCCAGAGAGGATTCATTGCCTCTTCACACCACCATAGCCAGAAGCCACTTCTTGTTGTTGTTATTATTTTTACTAAAGAGGATTTCTTTTTAGCTAGCAGAGGAATTTATGTTCCTCTGTTTAGCCTATTTACTCTACCAAGGTGGACTTCTAAAGGGACTTTGTTGTGAAAATAATTCTTTACTATTACTGCTGCATGGACCTGTCTAGTCCAGTTTCCTTCTTTCAACAACTGAGCCCTGGAGAGGTGTGTGACAAGCAAGTTAGAGGCAGAACTAAGGTTATTAAGAAACTGTTAGAATCTGGATCTCTCAAGTTACAGTATCTTTTTTGTTATACTAGTAGTTTTTAAAACTTTATTTTTAAGCATTTGAAACGTCCCCTTGCTTTTTCCCCAAGCCAGCTCTCATATGATACCTAGTTTGTAAAACAAATGAAAAATGAACATGTTCTTACTGAGATGGGTGTTCAGTCTCCTTTTCCCTCTTGAAGGGGTTTGGACTCTGGAAGACACTGAAAACATTTGTTTTGTGTGTATACTTGTATATAGGAGTTGGCTTTCTGGCTTTTTAGGTGTCAAATAAGGGACGTGGACAGAGAAACAGAGTAGATACTTTTAAAACTTGTTTTTATCTCTGAAATGATTTGATTCCGTGGCCAGAATTCACAGTTGTACCCTTAGAGCAATGTCCTTCCCAGGATGCCAAGAAAACGCTTAAGCTGAGTCTTAAAAGATTGATAGGATTTAGGGAGTACCCATAGGGCTCATGGTGGTTGTAGGTGGGTGTTGGGTAATGCCTCCTTATTACCCATCTCCTTAAGTCCAGTTAAGTGGGCTTTTGGAAACACTTTCACATTTGGAATTGGTTTGAAAGTGTATGTTAAAGAGTGGGATCAGAGGGGCATACAAACCTACAAATAAAACTTTTGGGGAAAACAGATGCTCAAAGCGTAAGATGCCAATTTGAATAACAGATTTTGCCCTCGGTAATTTTATTTGTCTAGATTAAGTAAGTAGTGCATATTAACTTCATACATATTTCTTTATTCTCAAGGTTCAGATGGTTTCCCCGATCCTGATTTAGTATTGAAGTTTGGTCCTGTGGACAGCACATTAGGCTTTCTTCCCTGGCACATCAGATTGACTGAGATTGTGTAAGTAATTAGAAGTGTATTAATTTGGATTCAGTTCAGCATGTTACTTTAGCTCAGAACTATTCTGTTGTTATGTGCCATTGAGTCGGACCCAACTTCTAGCGACTCCTCCTTGGGTTTCTGAGGCGGTATCACTACGAAAGTAGATTGCCCAACCTTCCTTCCGAGGAGTGGCTGGTGGGGTTTGAACCACCACCCTTCTGGTTAGCAGTCAAGTGCCTAGGTGTGATATATAATAATTACCAAAAAATTACAATACAAAATCCTTTCCCTATGTATTTGACAGTATTATCGGTAAAATAAAGACATATGTAAATGGATTAGACACAGAGTGTATGGTCGTGTAAATGTTTGGTGTTGACTCCAGTTGCCGAAGATCAGAAGTGAGAAATATCCCTATTGACCAGAGTTGCTGATTCTGTAGAAGAAGTGTGATCTGGGTCTAATTTGTGTAATCAGAAAAGGGGGGAAGCATAGAGGAATACAAGAAAAGGTGAGTGGGGCAGAAAAATTCACATGGCATTTTAAAGAAATAATGATGGCACTAGCCGTGTAAGAGCTTAGAGTTCAGTTTGGATAAAAGTATGAGGTGAAATCAGATAGTTTGGGGGTGTTGAAGTTTGGAAGGCTTTGAATGCTGGCATAAGGAATGTGTTCACTTGTTGGGAGAAGCAGACTTTTGAGTCTGAGGATAACGTCAGAGCATTGATTTTTGGAAGATTTCTTTGGAGCTGTGCACTAAATGGATTGAATTTGGGAAAAGTTGAGGTCAAAAGACAACTGAAGAAGCCGAAGCTGCTATTTAGAGGAGAAATGATAAAGAATACAAAGATGATAATGAAACTGATTATTTAGAATAGGGTTTGGCAAACTTTTTCTGTAAAGGGTCAGAAAGTAAATATTTTAGAATTTTTTAGCCATAGTC